GAGCAACCTGTACTTGTGTGCTTGTTTGTTCTGTCTAAAATGTTTATTTTGGAATAAAGAGGTTAATATAAAAAATATTTTTTGTCCGATTCATCGATTAATCGAAAAAAATAATCGGCCGATTCATAGATTTTTAAAATAATCGTTAGTTGCAGCCCTACTTGACTGATTAAATATTCTTAATTTGAGAGTGAGTTAGTATTCTAGATTGACTGTTAACAAATTAGCCTGTCCTTAGCATCAAAGCAGTAGTTTCATCAGGTCCAGAAGCAGACTCTGGTTAGGCAAGCTCAATTTTTCTGCCAAAGCCAGGCGTTAGTGTGACAAATCTCTAATAGCAGTAAAGCACCAGAACCGGTTTGGTGGAAAAGGCTCCTTTGTCAGACTTTTGTCTTCCTCTTTCAGCCCAGCAGATCCAGTCAAACAGGTGTTTAATGGGCCTACTTACTGCAGAGGTGTTGAAATACATGTTGCTCTGGCCTCCACACAGCCAAATGTCCCCAAACAGCACATCTGTCAGGTTACAGGCACTGCTTTGAGAGATGGCATACACATTGTAGGGACCACCGGCCTCAACAGGGTCAAGAGTGACTTGCCAAATACCTGTAGTGGGGGAAAATACATACAACGTAAGAAGAGGAAGAAAAGTTTTATTCTGTACCATTTGCAGTGATGGGTATAAGTTTTTTTTTGTCAATTCAAAAGCAGGACAGGTGATTGTCATGTTCATCATTTGAGGTACAGTATGAAGGAATATCTGGCTTACAGCAGTTCCTTGAAGTTTGGGGAAGATATTGCATGCTGCAGTGCATTATTTTATTTTACAAAAGGGAAAGGAGGGCTAGGATTACTTTAACAGGTGAGGATCACGAGGTAATCTGACAGTGTGTGGTGTAGATGTCCTAAGCCACGCCTAAGCAAACTAATAATGTTGGCATGTAGATTCTATGTGTGCATAGTTTAAGTTAAAGTCTAATGGATTCCTTTCAATACAGCTAACTTCTTGATAAGTTTGGTAAAGCCCAAAAATGGAAAATCTAACCCAATTAATTGTTTCATCCGTAGTGTCTTTGTCTCATTTTTGTATGTGTTGTACTTTTTGAATTTGTTGACCTTTTATGTATTCGCACTTCTCATCCATTGTAATTTAGACTTTAGATGTAGGCTCATAAAGGCAAAGTATCATATTTCAGAGATAGAAAAATCTAAATATCATGAGCACATTATAAAACTTAACTTCTGACAAAAAGAGCATTTAAGGAAACAACTTTTGGATGCAAAATGCACTTCCAAATAAGAGATAATGACCTTCCTTCTGGAATTGCAGCACCTACTGCCTACTACAGTTAAAGAATGGATTGCTTTATTGATAAAAATTATCCTGAACAATCTTTTGTTATCCTGTTTTATGCACAAACATGTTATGCGCATAAAACATGGGCAAGATCAATGACATTGAATATCTAAAAAGGGGAGGATTTCTCTTACCCTCTCAAAAAAAAATTAAATAAACAAATCGGTTAGAAACACATGTAACTCTTGACTGTGAAACAATTAGAGCTGAAGTGGAGAAACAAACCGAAAAAAGACAAGAAAACCTGGTTCATGCTCTTCTACTTAAAACCAGTTACATTTATCTGTAAAGAAGTAAGAGTGTTAAAAAAAAAAAAAACCTACACCGGTTTCTGGAAATTATTATTATTATTATTAGTTCCACTAAATCCTAAGAAATGTTTCCCTCTCTAGGTAAGATGAGCATCAAATGTGCTACCAATGTTTGGTAAATAAAATAAATGCATCTTTCTTTAACCATCTGGATAGTAAATTTGCAGTAGTGAGTAATGGATTGAGACAGATCTCTATTCATGTTAAATTTGATTTAAAGTCCAAATCTATCGATCTATAAAACCCTGCAGTCATGACATAAAGATGATCCAGTTAGAGTACTGACAATTATGTTTCATATCTATAACCATAGGCTTCAATTTGGCCTTCTGGGGAATTGCATTAATTAAAAGCACCAAGCAAAGCCATCACAAATTAAATGTGACAAACATAATGATGGTTGATTAGTTCAGATATGTGCAGAAAGAGGGGTGTGTATTAAAAAGTGGCACTTCTGTGAAAAAAAAAAAAAAACATGGATGAAAACAACAATCCCAACTAATTATCAATCACCACATCAAGTTGGCTGCTGGCTGTGTTGTTCGCAGAATAATTTAATCACTTCATTTAACTCTGATTAGGGACACAGTGAAAACCCCTCCCTCTTGCCTGATGATAATTGATATAATTGGTGCAATTGAAGGCTGACCTCAGCTTGTAGCTTGCACCCCACAGAAATAAACTTTCCTTGTTGATAAAAAACAAAGAAAAAGAGATGGATTTACCTTCCTTCACTGGCACTGATGAGACTTTCTGTAGAATTGGACCTGACAAGTAGACCGTGACCTTTTCGCCGTCAGGGCCGTAACCCCACAACACAGCCCTCTGTGGGGACTTCTGCAGAACCATGTGGTCTCCATAATAGGAGGCAAATCGCAAGGTCGCATCTTATCCAGGAAACAGAAAATAAATTAGCAAGGGCTGCAATGAACAATTATTTTGTAAATCAATTAATTGGTTGATTATTGTTTCGATTATTCGATAGCAAAACGTTCCTTAAAACTTTTTTTGGAGAGTTCAAGATAAAGCATACTGACAGAAGAAAACGTTTTCGTTTTTTTATCTTAAATGCAAAATGTTTATATATTTTTTACAATTGTGATATATTTACTGTTCTAAGTGAGTTTTCTCTGTCAGCGAAAGGTCTGTTTTAGAGTCTCTATACTCCAGTTAACGATTAATCGATTACTAAATTACCGTAAATCCTCTAATATAGACATGTATTCCATTAGCGGCCGGGACTAACAATTGCCAGTCTCGCTTTCGGCAGAGGTAAATCGTATACAGGCCAGGCTATAATTAGAACCAACAATGTTTCTGGGCAGTCCTCATCAACTTGAGATAGTAACATAAAAGTATCACAGGGGGGCAATGTTTGCTAACGAATCCAGGCCATTAGCATGGGAATCCCCATGCTTACACAGAGATCGTAGTGACCTTACTCAATCTTTCCGATCTGAAAGACAAATGATTACTGGTAGATCTTCATTAAAATGACAGAATTTTGTTGGCCATTGTTGTTCTGAATTTCCCACGAAATTTATGTGATAATGGTAGCCTACTTCGACTTAGCCTATGTCAAATAAAATTTCGCTGTGATGGCAGAACAGTTTCCGTTAACTTTTTGTCCTATTTATTTAAACTTTTTTTTCGCAAGTCGGTTTGGCCAAGATTCCATTCTGTGTAGGCTTTTTTTTTTTTTTTTTTTGTATTACCGTGCAGAAAAATAGCAGCTGCTGGAAGATGTCTGAATTATCGGTATTTGTTGATAATGTTCTGTATACAATTATGGTAACTGTACTTTTTCAATAAATTAACCTAGTATATTATAGGTTTAAAGAGACACAAAATCAAATTTTTATTGATTCCACTGGTAGTCTGTTTTGCTAAAATAAAAATAAAGGCCTGCCTCTAATTTTGGCCTCCTTCCAATAATGGCCTGGACCAAGATGTACGTGAGTGAAATAAAAGCCCCGTCCTATATTAGAGGATTTACGGTAGTTGACTGTAGTTGGATTAAAAGTTATGTATGTAAATGTACACCATATATATGCAGTTGGGATATTATTTTTAATGAAAGAATACATTTAAAAAACAAAAAAAAAAACATAATTTTTTACCAATATAAATGCTACCAATACAAATGATATCTAAACTTATGTAACCCATTTATTAAAATACCTAAATGTCACTTTTGCTTGATAAATACTTAATAAATGTACTTATAATAATATTCACTATTTCAGTTATTTACAGTTGGATTCCTGTCTCTGTATACCATCTATTCACACAGTTCTATTGACAGTTCATTTTTAATTTAATATTTATTAGTTAATAAAAATAAATGGAGCTAAATCTAAAGAACGACATGCATTTCTTGGAGTTGGTTAACAGGTGGCGGTTGGGACATTTCAAACAGTTTTAACGCAGCTCGCGCCAATGTGAGGCCATTTAACTTTAGAGGTTAAATACTCACCGCTGAGATGCAAAGCAGCTAAAAGCAAAACAATGAGAGAAACTCCAGCCATGACTAGAGGCCCTGGACAACGAAACACCGGGAAGCTTTGCCCACAGCACTCACTACATGCTCAGAGGCTGAAACGCTTAAAGTGAAACTGCTCACTTTTCCAGGAGCTTCATCATGCAGACTCAGTGTCACGCGGGTCATTGAATTTGGACTTTCAAAATAAAAGCATGAACCATAGCGATCAATATTTTTGTTTATTTTGACAACTTTACTTGTGCAGAAAATGAAGTCACTGAAATTGATGGTTTTTCCGTTGATTTCTTTCTTTCTTTCTTTCTTTTTACACCGTTTTAAAATTTAAGATATGACAAGAACACATTACATTTGTAACAGGATGAACCTCAGACCTCTAGCCTCTTTTGCGATATATACTAATTTTCAAGGCTATGCTGTTAAAGAACAATTTTTAATAATTACATTTTTATATGGTGGATAATTTAGTTAATTCAATTCAGTTTATTTGTATAGCGCCAATTCACAACACGTCATCTCAAGGCACTTTACAGATACAATTCAACCAGATCATACATTTAAAATGATTCAAAGTTTTCTATCTAAGGAAAACCAGTTGATTGCATCGACTCATTGACTAGAACGCAATCCCTCACACCAAAAATGCTTATAGCAAAAGTGGAGAGAAAAAACTCCCCTTTAACAGGAGGAAACTTTCAGCAGAACCAGGGTTCAAGGAGACAGAAGCAGACATACAGAAAGAAGCAGAGATACAAAGGAACTTGTCAACCCGCTCCAAAGGCGGTCCCAGACAAGCAGATGAGCTACGAACCTGCTCCCACATCGGAGGACATAGAGAGCACATCCAGCCAGTCACAGTCAGGGAAACAGGACTACACTGAAGAATAGGCCGAGCTCAAACATTTATAAACAAAGGTGTTAATGGGAGCAGCACAGCTGATATTTCCCTTCAGTGAAATTGAATTAACAAACACTGCAGAGTGGGAGAATAGAGATAGAATGAAGCAAAATGATGAAATAAGGGTCCCTATGTCCTCCAGCAGTCTAAGCCTATAGCAGCATAACTATAAAGATAGTTTAGTTAATGTTTTTTTTTTCCATTTTATATTCATTTTCAGATAATGTGTTTGAGTTATTTAGATATGTTACTTTGTTTCTGTGTGTGTGTGTGCGTGTATTTTTTTCTTTGTCTGTTTATTTTACCAGGGCAAGAGAAGTATGCAGGGAAATGTTCATTATGCTTGCTTGAAGAGGATAATCAACCATAAACTAAAAGATTTTCCCCTGGAAAGTTGACTTATTATTGTTTGCGTATATTATTTGTCTGTGGATTTTTTCTTATTTTTTATTTTAGGCTGAGCCACAGTAATGGCTTTGTACACTTTTTCAATTTATGCAAATATTTTAATTCAGTTGATGATTTTAAGTTTATAGTATGTTGTGACAGTTATAGGATGAGAGAAAATCTTTTTTGAAAGAATGAGGCAATAATGTATTGATCGCGATGTTTAACAAGGGCCATTTCAATTTTGGGTTGTTTTTCAATTTTTTTTATTGAGGACCAAACATTACACAACAGTTCAGTCTAGATCTATTATATTCTCATTTTGTCCTCAGCTTCACTCCCCATCTGCTGGTAGTTAGGTTTTATTGTTTTTTTTTAGTTAACTAAATTTGTGGTTCAGTACTGCAGCATTAGATACTGCTCTGCAGTATCAAATGATCATTTATAAAACAGTGCCATACTGCTATAATTTATTTCTATTTAAGCAGTAAATATTATGTCAGCCTTCCAAAATGATTGCTCAAGTTTGCCTTTTGAATAGTATGGAAGCCGGATTACTTGAAATTAAATACAAGAAAGATATTATTCTGCTGGAATATTCTTCATGTAGAAGAAGCTTGGCCCTAAACAGATTATATTGGCTCAAAGAAATCTATCTTGTGGGCCTAGTGCCATTATTACCTGGATAACAGAACAAACATCCATTATACGTGTTATTTTGTTGACCGAAAACTGTACTATATGTTCATTTTAGAAAATTTAATCAAAACCAACAAATAAAAACATGGTGCATATTTATATATACTCACAAATTCAAGTCATCAAATAAGATTTCAAAAAACAGATACTCCAATTTTAAGAAAGCTGGAGCTTTTGTACAATAAGCTCAATTTAATTACTAAGAAACCTGGAGAATTTACAATAAATATTTAAGTGAGAACTAAAAAAACAAGCTCCGAAAGTTGCATTTGAAACTTTCCTTGAAGGGCTTCTCTACCCATATAGCACAAGGCAATTCCATTAATTATTACACGCTTAGTTTATAATCAAATAAACAACAGTATAAGCACATTAATTGGGTAATTTCTCAAATCTGTCCTGCTGCTGTGTGTGCAGTGAATCCTTACGAAGGCCAAAGTAATTACCATCCGAATGCTAATACAACAGCATGAAAAATGACAGCAGATGTAACATTAATTACCCAACAATTTACCAGTCAGGTGTTTATTTACTACTGGGTCTTACGGGTTGGCCAGTGGAAAAGAAAAATGAACACATGGACTTCAGCTGACATTTTAATTAAAAAATATATTTTGGAACATAAACACAAAAATCAAGTGATAGTTATGGTCTGGGGCCTGGAAAAGTTGCAGCTTGGAGTTCATATTAATGAAACAAGGTTCACTTAACGGTAGACATTTCTTTAGCAAGTGAAGCTGAAAAATCATTAAAAGGCATCCATCATAGCATGAATGCAAAAAACAAAGACAGCAGTAAAATGTGTATCTGCGATACCAGCTATCGTTCTTGCACCTTTTTAATTTTCTTGTTCAGTTCCACCAGTTTTCTTATCAGCCTTCTCTCAGACTGCTAATTTACATGTTTCCCATTTTAATAAAGATGTTTTAAAAGCATACTATGATTTTTAGGAAACTGAACATATGTAACTTCATCATGACTGAATGAGCCCTGACTGGGGAACGCGTAAATAAAAAAAAAGGGAAAAGTAACACCACAAGAAAAATGTGTAGCTATTTATTGATTGGGTAACACTTGTTTCTGTTTAGTGCACTCGTTTCCATTCTTAAGCCAATAAAGTATTGGGTTTACATGAAGATAGAGCACCATGATGGCACAGTTGTAACATTGCCTTTTTCTTGCATTTGGGGGATGTCTCCAGGTTCTCCATCTTTCCTCTAATGTTCAAAATAATAAGTTAGGTTAGCTAGGTTAGCTGGTCTCTCTAAACTGATTATTTGTCCTGTAAGTCTCTTTTCCTGTAGTGGCCTGCGATGGTTTGGCAACCTCTCCAGGGAACAGCCAGCCGTTTCATGCAATGCATGCTGGAGATATGCATGCTTCTCCTCAATGGAGTATAAGTTAGGTACTCAAACAATTTTGGTTGTTTCCGTATTTAGACAGTAGAGCTAAGTTACAAGGAAAAGAGCTGCCTCACAAATAAATAGCATACAAACAGAGCCGGATAAAACAGAAATGGAAAAGGATACTAACACCTTAATTAAGTTTTGATGGTTGAACGAATCTTTTTGTTACTATGACTTATATAATTAAAATGAATCTAAAAGAATATTTAATTTTTCTATGTGAAGACTGAGGTAAAATGAAAGGGTCTTAAAAGCTGTCATCTACTTCTCATGTTTTTGTGAAAGTGGTACTATAGTTTGATACTAATACTGCACCTTAGAGTCTTTGCCAGAATTACATTACAGAACTTGTGTTGAAAATAGCTCTCCGCCCTCCAAAAGTGTCTATTATCTGTACTGTCACGTTTTACAGTTAATAAACTGAAAATGAGCTCCACAAATACGTCTGTGGCTTCATGTAAGAACCAAAATTTATGACCGCTGTCCAAACCCCTCATAGGTTTTTGAACGCATCATCTGCAATCCACTATGTGATGAATCTCTCACATTATCGCCTCACTTTAAGTCACTCAGCAGCCATTAGTTGCTTGAGAGGAGCCCAAGTATCATATCTGCGGCCTACACGGCATCGTGCTTTCACACTTTCACACCCACTGACACCTAAATCAGGTTACACAGGAAACCGCCTTCCCCTACTGATTCCAAAATAAATTGTGGAAAAACAGATCTTCAGGCTATTATAAATCCATCTAAATCATACGAGCTTCTGTCTTTATTAGGTCTTCTTTTAAATCCTGAAGAGTAACCAAGAACTCTATTTTTTTTTTTAGATGTTTGGCCATCTTAAGTTTTATCATAACAGACTCTTACAAGCTAAAAGAAACGCTGTGTAACATGTAGCCACTAGGAGGCGCTACTAGGGGCAGCCTGAAGGCAACTGTCAATGCCACACTGTCACAAAATGAAACAGTTTTTCTCAGTGTTTTGGAATCTGATAGTAGACCAATTTGGATCAGCAGATTGAGTAGTTATGGAGTTATCTGTAAAGACAAGGTCACATTTACCACTTCATGTTAAATCCTACTTTAGAGAACCAAAAAAAAAAAAAGCCTGATCAGGTGTCAAATCTGTTGCCTAACAACAACTCTTGTTTAAGGGGAGCTCAGACTGCCATAAAGTGATGCTCTGTCACATGATTCATTCATAGACGGATCTGCCCCTTTCATAGTTACATAGGCAAGTCTTTGAGAGGAACAGTCCTCATGAGGAATCAATTCCCAACAAGTGCAGAACATTGACCTGAAAAAAAAACAAACATTTAATATATGTCTAACTGAAAAAAATATATATAAAAAAAATCCTCATTCCTTCCACATAATGTCATAAGCACACCCTCCATACTAGCTGTTGGTTATCTGATTTCATGTTAAAAATGTAAAACGAGGACTACATTATTTCTATATTTTACTTAAAACCACTCTGAAATTAAACATGCTGTAGTTCTATAATGCTATAGGTTTTTAAATTCCTGGGTTCGATTGCCCTCTTCCTGATTCAAAAAAATGCAAAGTTACTTCTTTCCAGACCCAGGTAAAAGCCTTCCTCCCAAAAAACAAAACAAAAAAACTTTTAATTCATTAGGCTGATTTATTATATTGTTAAAAAATTTGAGCTTTCACCGAAAATTTGATTTTTTCATTTCCTACATCT